AAATGCTGAGACCAAGAGTCAAGGGACAAATTTTAGTTCACACGAGTAAATATGTTACAGTGGTACACACACACACTATTGATAGTAAATTAACACAACGATCGTCCTCAAAAGTAGCTTTTCGCTTTATATGTAGGATTAACAATTTTCCGATTTCAACAAAGGTCGATTGGAGTTTTCTTGAACTGCCACGTTCACGTAATTATGACTAAAAGTACTTTCATATTGCCAAACTCTGTTTGCACTGTTAAAATTATCATGTTTCTTGAAATACACACGGTGTACGGTGTTAATTCTTTTTTTTTACCTCCAGCACAGGCTCTGTGTAAGGACATCTAGCATTGTGTGCTAGGTCCACTGTAATGCATCTATGTATTCACACGTTGACCGATCTGCTATGCATCATTGGAATGGATAGCAAGGGAAAATATTTTGCCCAGATTATTACAGACAACACAGTTGCCGTTTGATAGCTAAAGATCAAAAGTCCAACAGATAGAACCGGGTTGGAATTATATCCTCTTGTTCTGCGGACATGCAGTGGTCACTTACATCTATCCTATATCTTTTTTTTCTCACTGTTACTGTTCTCAGCTGGATAATCATTTGCCTATTGTTCAAATTGTTTTATCTACGCGCGATAGCAACAGCGAAACTTGGTGCATATGTCCTCAACTACTTGAATGGTTTTAACCGTTCCTAAAACTCCATTCTCATTTGCAACAGATTGTTTTATCCCATCCTGGGTATGGGATTTAGTAAATTAATTAAGACTCACTCGTTAACGCGTCGCAAATCTTTCACGCTTCCTGTTGATTCATGAGATGCGAGGAGTGATTTAACTTCCTGATCTATTTTTTTTCGATATTTAGAACTTGCTTCCCAGCACCGAAAATCTATTTGATGCAATATATCGCTGATATAGAAGTTGTCTCCGCTTTAGATGAGAATATGCAATCTTCACATTCCCAGTTTTCATTATCATCAATCATTGAGTGGTCATTCATGTTCAGTTTCTCTCTCTCTCTCTGGGTGGTCAAGCAAAGACCTGGCCTGAGGGTTTAAAAACCCTGACCAGGAGACTTGCTCAAATAGGTTGCATTAAGCTTCCTGGATAGTCTTCGGGATCAGTATAATCGATCATTAGAGACAACAATGGACGTAAACAGTGACACACATGCATCTACTCATTGTTCCTGCAGCCTTAACCTTCATGAATGATCCCTTTTCACTCTGGTACTGATTTGAGCATTCAAATCTCCCCTTTACTCCTTTATCCAAGAGGAGAACAGCAAATTCTCACCTCAAAGGATGTGTTCACATCCCACCACCACCACCACCTGAGTTTTTCCATCTTCTATGTGTTAACTGGCAGCCCTTTGATTGGCCGCATCCCCCTTTCTCAACATTATATTATGATATATTCAACGAGAGTAAAATACAAAATTGACAAAAAAGATGATCTGATCTACGAATCAGAGACTACCGCAGTAAAACAATTGTATGACGTACTTGGGAGAATATCTAGATTGGATTGATTGAAGTTCCTGGTTGGTAAACAATTTGAAATTGCAAGAACTACCTACTCACTTAATATGTTGACCCCTGTGTCCAACCCCTTTCGAATTAGTGCCTGTTGATCTTCAAATTGACTGATTTCTCTTCCCTGTATGTGTTTGTCTGTCCCAAATGTTACACTTTTTTTAACCAAAGGTCATCTGAATGTATGCACACAGTTGATCAGATCACGAAATAATTAAATTCTACACATCCTGTGATCATGATGCTTCTTCTTGCTCTCATGAAAATGGTTGCATGGAACTTTCTTGGTTGATCTGTAACTTTTATTCACTTCCTCAAACAGTTTCAACAGACCTAGAATCCATAAATTTTTTCAAATACAAACAATCACAGGATATATAGCAACCAAAGAAATGAATAGGCAGTGACCAAGTAACCGGCAACCTACCATAAAATGATAGCACATGTAACAACTGGAACCAGACTGTACTTCGTGATAATTGCTCTGATAGTTGATGGTTAATCGGTGTGAGGCACAGCTGTGCCCGGTTTTGATTAATAAAAGAAGTGACCCATCACATTTCATTTTTTTATCAGAGCGATAGGCCTGATTATTCCGGAGCTGTTACCAAACAGTGGCACGCGCACTTTATATTTACCCTCTCACTGCATGCACAAATTTCGGGTACGACAAAGGACGAACGGAAACTGACTAGAGGGTTGCGATGCTAATCTCGCAAAATAACACGGTGTGGTATGAAAATCCGTGCTCGTTTGTTTTTGAGAAATCGGCAACCTTTGTTTTACCGGGGACTTGAAATGACGAACTGCACAAGGCTGCAGAATTGTGATACAAACTTGTTCTGTTTTTCTTTTCTTTTATAAACGTTTCATATTCACGATCGACGAGTTGTGTTTTGGAAGAATGGTTATCCACTCTCACTGTATAGTAGTGTTTATGATCATGAGTTTCACTTTAAGACTGTATATATAATATTTAGCACATACAAAAAAACACCTTGTGAGGAACACAACTAAACACGAAACCGTTCAGAATAGTTATTTGGATGAGGTTGCCAAGTTTCAGTCGTAGACTAGCGAAAATATCTGCACTCGGAATGAAAATTCACGCGATTTCTCAATCTGTTTTCATTAGAGAAAATATTTTTTTGAGGTGATTGATTGACGCACAAGTAGAACACAAAATATCCAGACGGATACAAATACGTGCACATATGAAACAAGCGACAAAAGTGAAGTACTGAAGCACGTTTAGGTAAAAATGGTGAGATGGAGTACGATGCAAAAAAACTGACTGGGGATGTGGGATGGCAAAAACAGGCCACGTGTGTCGGCGTGTGGGACAGGGCGAATGTAATTCACAGGGGAGGAGGTTGCTTCAGAAACAAGAAGATACAGACAAGGGGGCAAAACTGATCAATCGGGTTCCAGTTTTGTGAGCACATGAGACGAACAAGATGGAACAAAATAAACGGAACAGGATCAAAAAAGAGAAAAAGGAAATCCGACAGGATGTAAGAAAAGTATGTAGGGCTATTATCGGAAGTAATTAAGGTTGACTGATTGCCTGACTGGTTTAGAACAAGAAAGCAAACAGAGGTAGGCTAGAAACAAGTTGAAAATATTTTAAACTACACTAGTGAATCATTTGACTAGTACGGTGAAGAATAATGGAGCATGTTGTATAATGGGATAATTTTGAGTATACAAAACATCTAGGGAGTCAAGAAAAAATTGCAATGGGTAAGAAAAAAAGACACCCGTCGAGAACCGCTTTGTCACCGATGTGTTGTTCACGTGTTTACCAAACGCTGTGAGGCCTTGTCAGTAAGGAAAATACTGAGATCAAGAGAGCTGAATTGCGCTCGAAAGACCGGCGGACGGGAGTGCAAGTTTTTTTAAACTGTCTTGAAAGAGCGTTGACATGGAAGCACACAAATAAGAAAACAAACAAAACAATGAACCAGGCTCCCACTACGCATTCGTATAAAAACAAAGTAATATCAATCTGGAATGGAAAGCTACAAAGGCGGATTGAAGTGATGAAAATTTCGGCGCTGTGTGTAGTGGTAAGGATCACGGTGATGTTGCAGGATCGGGCGCTAAATACGGAGATTGCGACTCCTGAGCAGTGTTGGGTGATTCCGTTAAGACTGTCTCGCGAGTATCTTCACTACAATTGGTTGTATTCAACAAATCTGACTCTACGTGTAGCTCAGTAGAGACCGTGGGACCGGGTCCGTCGGCAGATGGAGCCCTTAGTGGGGAATCCGAGCTCCACCGAACACTGGATGTGTGCGTTGCAAGCGAGTAGAGATCAAGATCGAGATCCGGATCGACGGGGTCTTCATCCCGGGCATTGTGTGACAAAAAGTCGCCTACATCCGCTGAACTGAACGCGACTGCATCATCATCATCGGGGTGGTAGTGTCGATGATCCACCGCTTCATATACGTTGGGTGAGTGCGCTGTTGGAGGATATTCCATTGAGATCTATGGGAAATGCATAGGTTGTGAGAAGAATGAAACGCAGTTCAGAAGCAGAAGACGTAGTGCTGTGCTCAAGAGTATATACTGGATGTGAAATACATGCTTCAATAATATATATATATATATATGTATATATATACCCATTGATGCATAAGAACAAATTATTGTTCAGCAGATTGAAGTTTTATCTTGAGATTATGAAGAATTTAGTAGCCTCGGTGGGATTCGAACCCACGCATGGATGCCGCCTACTCTTTTGTACAGTGCACACTCTACCAGCTGAGGTACGAGGTCACACCGCTAGCACTGATCTTTTCACGTTCGAATCACGGATCCAAATTACAGATGCATATGGAATCCACCAGTTAGCATGTAAGCTGACTGCCT